TATTATAAGTTAAAAATACAGTGTGTGTAAATACGTTCAATAAGAGAGGAAGGTTTTACGTTTATCTTTTTGTGTTAGGCTTGCAATGCATCCTTAGTTAATAGGTTGTTATTGTCCCTTAACCCTGTTACAGTAATGTTATTCTTCTGTTTAAATTGTTATTATTACCTTCAAATGATTTCGTACGTTGTTTAGGCGTATTGCTGTAGTCGTCGCTGTGGTCCAGACCTAAGATTAAATTTGCTTTAAAAACAACGTTTTTTTTTACATAAATGTTCGTGTATTATAATCGAATCGAACAAAATCGATAGCGGTTCCATTGGGCACACATTTTATCTGATCGCATTCGATTTTTTTTGCAAAAAATGTGCAAACAGCGAAAAATTTGCAAAAAATGCAGACAGTCTTTTTGTTTATTTGATAACTTCTTGCTCTATTTAAAAGAACCTTGTCCGAGAGTTGTTATCCAGTTCATCATAAAGCACTCCACCTCCAAAATTTCAGCTCAGTTAAGCTATAATATGTCATTCACTGTTTTTCTCGGTCTGCTAACGTACAAGACTAAGTCGTCGGCAAAATGATGCGCCCGTTTTGATAGGTACAGACGTATAACTAAAATGAAAATGCATGAAGGTACAAGCGTCTTGTTTGCAGGTTCTAAAAAATATCTCCGCACAAGCTCTTGGCCTCAATCTTTTACAAACTCTTTGCCTTGTCTAGTCATAACCCTGCATGAATCTCTTTCATCATTGGTTTGCCTCGGGATGTATTTATAGTTCAGAAGAGACCACATACGCTCTGGCATGTCTTGCTTCCGGTATAAAAATTAGAGGGACAGAAAGAGACACGCATATGGAATTCAGTTGCGTAGACGAAAGTAATCGTCGGGTTTCTCATAGTTATGCGTAGGGCTCAGATAATCTGTGCCCAACGCTAATTGACACGCACTTTTTTTGGTAATAGTAAAGAAACTTTCATGTTAACTTTTTTCAATTCAAGCGTAGTTGATAAAGCTTAGCACTGCATACATCAGAACAACTTACATTCATATTCATTAGCAAAGAGAATGTCTTTGAGCTTAAAACCTTCTTCACTTTCACAGCGAGGCTATAATCCTCGTCAAATGGTATGACTGACTATCTGGCGTGCATTCTGTTCTTCTGTTCTGTTTATGAGCTCTAGCGAACAGTCATTGTCTAGCTTTTAATAGTATAGTATTTACATTTATTGAACCGAATTCGTCCAAGAGGCCTCACCTTTTCGGTCCACAGAAACTTCTTCAAAGTATTGCTTGGCCAGTACCCAAGGTCGAACCGATTTAGCGGTTCGTGATGGCCTTTTTGATTGCTATTTAGGTTATAAAACAAAATAGAAGAAAAACTATACTCGCTTAGGAATAAATCTGCTTTTTTATAATTCATCACTGAATGAGTTCCGAATATTTCTGCTCTTTCCCAAACCTCGGCCTGGAAACGCATTGTTTTGAATTATTGCGTAAAAAAATGCAGAGGGCGCTTAGTTATGAATAAATAGTTGTCGAAATCATAAAAATTATTCTGATATATAAAATTATTAATGCGTAATAGCCAGTAATTACGTAGTACGTTTGGACTTACTTTTTATAGTGAACATTGATTAAAAAGGGTCGAGTACTTTTCATGTCCACAAAATTCATATGGACATAATATTCGGATAACGTGAATTGATAAATAGAAATTTTAATGCATGCGCTAATACGCACCAGTTCGAGATCATTGACTATACATTTTGATACGTAAGCAGACATTGACTGATTTTTTTTTGTAGGTCGAAACGCGTCTGAGATGAATTGATATCTCACGTAAATCCACAGCCACCAACATTTGTCGCATTCTCCAGAAAGGAACTGTGAGACCGTTCACAAATGTGAACTCTACTCTGTGGCAACTTCCTTCGATTTGCCAACAAAGCCGCGGCAGTTCTTCGGTGGCTTATTTGGTGAAACCTTGACAAGACGTAGATCATTGGAGGTCAGTTGAGGGCGGACGGGAGGCCAGGCATCGGCAACTTCATGGGATCGAAGGTTTTGTTTTTCTCGGTAGTCTTAATGGAACGTGGCCTTGTTGCCAGCAGTGTCAGGCCAAGAGTATTCAGGAAGCAGCGGCCCAACCACAGAACTACTTGAGGTGTCAGCAGGCGGGTCGCATGTAGCTTGAGAGCGCGACTGGCCACCATCTACTACAAGTACTGTAGCTAGCCCAACGCATCCCACAAGTTTAGATGGCACTGCTCAATGACTAGCGGGGCCTGCATGAGGTGCCCACCAAAATCAGTCAGTCAGTCAGTTCGTAGGTCTGCCCTCCCTCCGCTAAACTCTGCCAAACGGTTGTGCAAGCAACAAGCGACAAGTCACCGGCGTTGTCTGACTGACTGGTTGGGGCCGGTGTTCTTGCTTCCTTTCAGCCATCGCTACTAGTTATCTTTCGAGAGCTGTCCAGCGTTGATAAGCGAAAGTAGTAGCAGCAGCAGCAGCAGTGGGCAGTTAAGGCAAGGCGGCGGTAAAGAAAGGCCGAGCAGGGCGCAAGGCTCCTGGGTAGCGTACTGTAGAATAGGGTAGCCGACTGACCGGCTGCCTAGTCGTTCGGTTCGTTGTCGATTGTCTACCTCGAGGCGACTTCCAAATAAGTGTCGGCGGTGGCGAGGGCGCCCTCTCTTGGTGTGGGTGGCTAGAGACTTTTTCCCCGGCGGACTCGGCAGCCGAGGCAGTTCCGTCCGAAGCTTGCATTCGAGTGGACTCGTTCTTTGCGGTAGTGCGGTTAGTGTCCCAACTCTATCTGGGAGTTCTATGTAATTCGATTTTGAACGATACTTGTATTAAGCTTGTCGTTTCCCGCTTGAAATCAAAACGCGGTAAAGAACGTGTACAGTAATCGACACCTTCGAGAACGCTTCTATAACTTGTATTATCATCAGTGACGGTTATAATGTGTGCCACAGCCTGGCCGAACGAAGTGCTGATGCAGTGCCCGCTTGGATACTTTACTAACCCATTCTTGTGAAAAGAAACTGTGTTAAATCTACACTATACATTGGATATAGTCCTCACCCGCTGCTACTCAACTTACCCGCTTATTTAATATTTAGTGCCTAGATACATTTGCTAGAGCACGCTTAGAGGATAATCTAGTTTTCATAACTTAGGTATGCTTATGTTCATCTGTTCTAAATTATTATGTGCATAAGATATCCAGGTTCTGATTACAGCCAAATGACACTAATGTCATTTTACCATTGTAAAGTATATTATGGTTAGGCCTTTATCATGTTAACCCAAACATTTACTTATTGTGCTTCAGCTGTTATAACAATTGACTGAGCTTCACATATTAAAGCATATATATATATATAGGTAGTCGCACTAACTTCTATATTCTTCCATATATATTCAAGAAAAGTAAGATCGTTAGACTCCAACCCAATATATGAAAATGACTTTTACTTAATAACTTTCCTAATAAATAATATAAAATAATATCAATAAAAATCGCCTCTGAGAAATGTGCAAATGGCGACAACATCTATATATATGCTATCTTCGTAAATTTTAATACACTCTTTTATCTCAGTCAGAGCACTAACATCTAAAACTATATAGAGTACAATCGTATTATGTGACCTAATTTCTAACAGATATTAATCGGGGCACAGCTATGTTATGATATAGTGTGCGCTGATGGCCCGCCTTTCGAGCCGGTCGGGTCGCTCATAGTCCTATTGTAACCAGTAGGTAAGTACAAGGGTCTGTAGTAGTCCGAGTGAAAGGGGAATCTTTGCTAGATCACAAGCAGCTCTTGATTAATCAGGTCAGAACCGAGATTCACTTCATTCCCTTGTTCTGTCGAAAGGTTGCGTACCACTTCTAAGATTCCCATATCCGCCTGTCAAGACATAGTAATAGACGAACGTTTATTGTTATACTGAAACACAACTGAAATGTTTATTCTCTTACAGCACCCCTATAACCTTCAATCGAGATCAAAATGCCGTTCCAGGCTCAGGAGGCTGCCCGCTGCCCGAAGTGCGGACACCAAGTGTTCGCTGCCGAGGAGATGCTAGCTGGTGGTGCCAAGTGGCATAAGATCTGCTACACCTGCGGTAGGTGGTCCGATAGTGGCCCGTGATAGCTTAGCGGGTAATGTTTAGGCCGCGAATCTTAGACACACGTCCCACCCGGGCATAGATCTACTTTGTTTCGAGCCGTCTGATGGAATGAATAATGGCGAAACCGGACGTAAAACTCGAAGCATAAAGGCTGTTTTACAGTGCTCGAGTTGAGTACGTTTTACCTGTCACATGATCTGTGGAGACCTTGTTTAGTCTCGAAATTTGAAGTCACACAATTTGTAAAAAACCTCACTAATTTAGGAATCATGTGTAGAAAAGTCGGTGCCTGAAATAGCAATTATCGACTATCCAAGAGATCTGTTATTTGCTTCCAAAGTTCAGTAAGCATTGCCCGAGGCGCCATTAACGTGCGGTGATAACTGTGTGTTATTGAAGATATGGTTAAAATAGAGAAAAGTTAATAAGAACGTTAGAGGTCCAGCATTTTCATTGCCATGGGAGCTTTGAATTAAAATTGTGCCTTGTAATGTGTATCTTAGGATTGTGCCGTAAGAGGCTCGACTCCACCAATGCTACCGAGCACAACGGTATGTTGTGGTGCAAGATCTGCTACAGTAGGAAGTTTGGACCTAAAGGCGTCGGCTTCGGATGCGGTGCTGGAACCCTGAATATGGACAAGGGAGAGGTGTTCGGCAACTTTGAGTCCTCTTCCAACAAGCCCTTGGATCCTTACTATGGAATCAATTCCAAGTTCTTCCAGTTCAAGTAAATTCCTTGGCTGAATATCTCATCTCAGGCGAAGGTAGACTTCGGAACAACGATGGCCGTCCAGGCTTTTGGGTTCTGAAGAACCATCACCGCCCTTCTCCCTTTCCCCTAGCAAATGAACATATCTCTACACAACGGAATTTTTTAGACTATAGAAACGCTCTTAAGGCAGTGTAGCCGACATAAGGCCACTGATCAGACAGCAGAAGCAAAGATCGATGAAATGAGGATTACGACGAAGTTGCAACAGACTGACTGACGAACAGGAGTTAACCTCTCGGCTCTCCAATGCCCCGTTTGATAGCACCATTTCCCCTAATAGCCAACTTGTCTTTCTGCGCTATGCTTGTGAATACGAAGTCTACTTCAGGCGCGGTGCAGGGGCCCGGATAGGCGGGCTCCGGCCGGCCCCGCGTTACCCGAGGGTAGTTTCTCCACCTTCAGGCGCGAGGCACTTTTCGGATCGACCGCGAACGCCCAACGAGGATAATCGAAGCGCGTAGCGACGCCCGGAAGGACCCCGCACGTGCTTTAAGTCGACCTCACCATCTCCCCCAATGCACAAAGGGGGCCGTATCTACAGCTCCAGCGACATACCACAATCCAAATCACACCTAATTAGCCTGCGGTTTCCCACCTTGCCATAAGCTTCCTATTGTTCAGCATAGTGTAACATCCACGATCCTAAACTTAATCCGGACAGTACATCTCTTGTGTAAAAGATGAACCTGCAAGTGACAAGAGAATACGACTTAGATTCAGATCAGCACCCCGGCCGCTTTATTTGCTTCCCTTTGAAACTTGTTCCTTTCGAGAATGCGAGTAGGATAGACTGAGCGTAGATAGTAGAGGCCATTATCATCTAATACAACCAGCCCACCTCGAGCCAACATCCTTACCAAACGACATCTTCATAACTAGATGATAATAACGATACAATGAGATACGATATGCAACGTGTTTAATGATAAAGCGATGCAACGACTACGAGATTGATCGGACCATCTCGAGTATAATAACTATTGCCATCAACGACGACGACAAAGAATGATAGTAAACAAACGAAAAACAACAACAAACAAGCGATGTTAACAACAGCAACAATTGCTGGTGCCAGAGAACTGGCAAAACGGATGTCACCCGCTAAGACAAAAGCGGGGTGCAAGCAACTCTAGCCTCCACTTTGTAAACATTAACGACAAGAGTAATCATAATAATAATAATAATAATCAACGGCCGAAGCGTTCGTGCTTATGAAGTTCGTCCGCTGGTTGAAAAATGGAAAAGCAGAAAAATAAACACCAACAGATGTTAATAAATATTTTTACTGTTAAAGCATATGATTTTATTCATAAGGGAAACGGGCTAAAGTATGATTCAGAGTCCCATCTATCTTATGTAAATCTGGTAATGCGGTAATATATACATAGCTAGAGCAGTCACTACAAGCCCAATGCACTTAACCCTTGATTGAGGATAGGATTCGAAGTAAAACTCTTTCTAGTATCAAGGGAGTTTCTCGTCAAAAGATAAATATCAAATTGACACATGAAAACGAAATAGTGGGAAAAAAAAAAGAAAGAAAAATACCAGATTCAGCGTTAGTACAGTTCCACACGTAAAACTTGAATGATTATTAGATTCTCAATAATAACATACTCTAATATTATGTAAATCAGGTCACTTTTTCTATTGTACGTTGTTAGAATATAGTAGATTTTTCTCCAGTGCATAAAAAGAATTGATATATAAATGAAGTACGAGAACTCACAAATTTCGGTTATCGATTGATTTTCGTAATCTGTAGAGTGCCTCAGAGGCCGTATGCGGTTCTGCGTGCTTAGAAATCGAATTACCCTTAGGTTATACCTTGTCATTTAGCATTCGTTACTATTTATGAGGCTAGAAAGACTCTAACGTGATATAAAACAAACATATGACATCAAATTTGTAGTTAAAAACCTTTAAGGATCAGTTGATGTTCAGAAGGCATACTGCTGGACATTTCTTGGGATTAGTGTCGTGGATAGCTTAAGGCCATTAATCATGAAGTGCAACGAGCAATTCAGAATATTTTTGCTTAACACTTGTGTGACCTTGTTGGTATAATTTCCTCGTCTTATCATGACGCGATATTAACAATTTATAGTTTGACTTCTATGACCGATGGCCGGTGTGACTACGAAGTGACTTTCACATCGATAATATTTTAATTCCTTAAATTTCAAAGCCGACCCAATATATATATATATATATATATATATATATTTTTTTTTGTTAAATTTAACAAACAGGCAAGATTTCGATATTATTCTTATATCGTTCAGAGTGACAGCCGTCTAAGAAAGTCAAATCTGAGCGGTTCAGTTATTGGCTCTGGACAGCCAATTACAGTATTATTATCGGAAGGTTTCGTTTGAAACATCAGGCTAAGTCCGGCTCAAGAAACCTACAGCAGCAGGACCGTTTCGTCGGGGTAATGTTTGGTTGACTCGGTTTGGTTAATTTTTTGTTTTGAAAGCCATTTGCGGACATTTCAGTTCTCCACCGCTTTGGTTGATATGTAATGAGCTTCGCCAAACACGCAATGCCAGCGAAGGCAAGTGAGTATCCGTATATCATGAAGACCACTGCGATATCCGACAGCCTCAAATCCGCCGATTGTGTGTAGAGCGATGATAGAGGCGCATTGTATATTATGTGTGTATGTTAAATCAACAGTTGCCGTCTCTTCCGTCTTCCCTAACAGTGCAACCACTAAATGGGGGTAAAGTTAATTAGTGAAACATAGTTAGTGAAGACATAGTGATTGTCATCGGTAAAATATAGGGTTCAGCTTTGTTCTCCATCACCACCTAGGACCTCGTCTAGTTATTTTGCCTCAAAGAAGGCCTAGTAATCTGCTAAAGTGCCATAGGAAGACATCATATGTTACAACTATGAAAAAGGCGGGGTCTTCGCTGACTTAGGAAGCATATATGCACACCTCGTATTCGCGGTCGATCGACAGTCGAACTGTCCTGGGTGGAGCAAACATTCAAGCAGATATTCCGCTTTCATGGCGTTAGCCCACAGGATCCTGTAAATGTTACTTTTTCAGAATAATTAATAGTGCATAAAACCGGAGGAATCTTTTCAAGACAGAATAATACAATGCGGTTGGTGTCTGCATGCTCGGAACTGCAGCCTACAATGTAGAACGTGTTTGAGGATCAGTGCATGTGCGGACCACATCTCGTTCTCGAGTACCACGTACCTTTTAGGAAAATAATAATGTATTGTATTATAATGTTTTCAAAACAGAGCATTAACGCTGTACGCACTGGCTTACGTACTTTATTTTGTACTCTTCGTTGAAGCAGGAATCTCTGTCTGACGTGGCATACCAACTACCGTGAAAATAGCTCTTTAGCAACGTAACAAGCGGCGATATTTGTGTGGATTAAGCCAAAATCGAATAAGATTGCCTGATCATGTTGTGAAATTTAGCATGATAATCTAATTTCACATAATAATCTAGTTTACGAGTATGATCTGTTCAAGATGCCCTATTTTTCTATACTCTAATTTCTAATACTCACCTGTTTGAGCTTTGCAACTATGTGCATCTGCGGTTTTTTTTTAACTGTTCGAACTAGCCGTAACGTGTTTTTTTCAATCTAAAGATACAGGTCACAGATGGTGTAATGCACAGCTTGGATATTTGTACAACTAGAAAAACTATGTCGGATAAAAGGGAAAAGCCTAGCGAAGCATATTTTCTAACACAGACGATGTATAGTGATTTCCGCCATGCAATGCTACGTATTTCTAAGAAGTACATAGTCTTACTGAAATGAAGAAGTATTAAGAGAACCCTGTATAAAAAATAGCCTTTTGGAACCGGTACATTCTTGTTGCAAACGAGAAAATCGACAGGATATATTTGTAAGTTTAGATCGACATAGCCTGGCATCACATCGTAGGACTCACCTCTCATACTCACGAACCTGGCTTCCTTGTGGCATATTTTGCTTTGTGATCAACAAATCAATAACAACAATTAGAAACTTTGCACTATTTTAGGGGCCATATATGATCATTCTTAGGACTACTTGTTAGAGCTAAGAACTCTCAGATTTTTAAATATTCAGTAATTCTAAAAATCTACCTTATGAGTCTCTTACCTGAGGCATGTTGGTAATCACTATATACATTTTTCTTTCTTAGGACATTGCTAATCTCTATGGGCGTAGTTTCATTGTTTATAGGTAATAGGCGTGGGGTACATAGTAGATAGGGAACACCTATTATGCACCGTACGCCAGAAGTTACGTAAAACACGAAGCCTGAACAAATTGCCGAACGTTGATATCAGTGCATTTTTTTAAACGGAAAAAATCTGATATGAAGTGCACGTTATCCTTGCATTCTCTACTGACTGTTTAGTGTACGTACGTGTAGTTGTGTGTCGATAATCATTTTTAGTAGATAGTATATATAATGATTTTTTCATCGTCTAGTAAATCATCTATGTTATCTGTTCGTTTAGTTGGCGATGTTCGCCTTTACCAGACTTGAAAAATTGTATATATTGCAATAGAACTGTCACCAGGATCCAGGGACCACATTCGTTTTCTACATTTGCCAGAGGCGCACTTCAAAAGTAACTGTGACTATTTTGGGTACTGAAAATATGACTTTGGACATTTTCAGAAAGTTGCTTATTTTTTGTACTCTTAAATCTATTTCTTGTGCAGAGTTATATCACTTTCATTCGTATCTAATATCATAAAAGGTTGAGTAAAACCACCTCAGAAGCACATATTCATAGTGGCCATTAATAAGAATCGTAGCGGTGTAACTTAGATTGAGCGACGCCGTAACATTAGTGGACATCCCCGCCATGAAAACGTGTGGGCGAATTCGACCAGTCAATTCATTCATACAATCCATAACATAGGGAGGAAACTAAAATTGCAGGAAAGCACGACAAGGATTACGGTTGGATTATGATTGGGTTTTAAAAAACAGTGCTTCAATAAAAACATTGTCTTTTTTAGTTAATTTACAATCAATAAAGTTTGGACTTATCACTCACAGGACAGTTGCGTTTTATCTCTTGTCAAAGAATTGTCAGAGAGAAACTTTACCAAAGAGAACAATCAAAGCTTAACAATGAAACTTACAATTGTATAAGTTACGCGGATCGTTCCGACCTGAGCGCACGCCCAATCTGTCTCTCAAAGTCAAATGTCCTATATGAAAAAAACAGTCCCTCATTTTATAAGAAATATATTCAATATTGTACTTTGATGCTAGTTGACATTACATGTTCTTTATGACATTTAGCGAAGCACATTAAACACACAGTGCCGTGCAGGTACCAAACGATTGAAACAGCTGGTGTTACACGATGAACGCACTCTTCTACACACTTTGATACTTTGTCATTTTCTTAATAGACTACATTATTTACACGTACCGTAGAATTAAGGGCCTATCGATCATTATCAACTCTCTTCTAATCAAATGAACGTTCTGTTACGTTTCTAATGAAAGACGTGGAAGTGGTTATTGTTGTTACCTTTTTCCATAACCATTCTTAATACGTTGCCACACAACATATGTGGTTCTTGTTGATAAAAAAGGATGACTTTTGCGAATAACTTACTATTTAGGGACTATTTGCATTGAAAGTGCCTAATATCTGCAAATTTTATAGATATATTTTGTTGTGCAATTCAACTGGTTGAACTGTATCGGGCAAATGATCGTGGATAGGGTTAGAAAATCATCATAATTAGGATCGTGAATCGACCCAACGAAAAAAGGGCCAAAAAAATACAAAAGGGTGCAGCCAGTCAGGGATGATACTATGTGTCGATGTTGCGTCTTCTGGTTTAGCTATCTATTTTAACGATTACTTATTATAAAATAAACTGTATGTGGATGAAGAATAAAAGGAGAATATATGGAGCCAAATAAGCAAAAAATTTTCCTGGTCATGCAACGGGACAACGCTATTGCATAGACTGAACAGCTGGGCTGACAAGTATAACTTTAAACTAAGTGTCATCGACATATACCGTGTCTACATAAATCTCTAATCCTATCGGTAAAGAAAATTACACAGATCTTGGCAATCATTAGTCATTCAATTTTTTGTATATGAAGAACTGTTAATCTATTACATCTTTCTGCATCAGTAAAAAACATTCTTCCTCTACATTTATAGCGTGCGGCGTCTACGTTTGCAGACTGTTCGTCATAGCGCTCGCTATGACGAACAGTCTGCAAAAGTGAAAGAAAGCAAGCTATTTTTTTATGACAACATAAACTCGTGAGTAAAAATAGTG